TTGCTGAAGTGTTCGGCAGATGCGCTTTCTCAAGTTTAAATTAACTCAGAAATCAAAGACTCTGGGACGAGTCTGCATAAGCGGTTGCATTTGAGCTTTTCTGTCTGGCTTGACAGAAATAGTGTGTGTGTGTGGGTGGGGGCGGGGGGGGGTGGGGGGTGGACAGGAGCCTGCGGGCTCCCTTCCCCGTGGTGTTCGTTCCACACTTCTGCTCTCTTTCCTTCTCTCTCTCGAACTGACCTGAACTTACCAAAACCGCTTCTCTTCCCAGAGCAAACGTTGTGCGTCAGAGCAAATGTGTTTTGGAGTTACTGTGAATCCAGACCTGTGTGAGCGAGTGTGAAGGTCATCGCTAAACATCTTCAAAAACATTATTTAATTAAGTACTGATTCATTATAGTTCATTATGATTACCCAAAGCACAATAATCATTCTTTTGATTAAATACATTTATAATGAGCAAAGTGATAAAATGATTATTTAGCATTAATAAACAAAGAAAGCGTGAGACTCTTTATTATGACTAGATTGTGTGAGAATTCCTTCTTCTGGAGCTGCAGGTGTTAGATGTTGTGGCTTCTTTCAGACTTGCTGTCGGCTCAGGTCTTAATCTGTGGGGTAAAGTTGCTGCGTGACCCAGCTTTGACCCAGCCGGGCAAATACGACCTTTGGCACAGAAAAACCCAAACTTCCTCACGTTACAGTGACAAACACTCTTCAGTTGGATAACTTCATTAGACAGGACATAATTGAAGCTATGAAACATATATTTCTAAAAATAGTTTCATCTTACTGTCTGGCTTCATAGAATCTTGTGGCAAATGACCATCATGGTTATGTCACGTAAATTTGAATCAAGAACTTCACCAGCATTTAGGGACAGATGTTAAATGTTGACAGTCCTGCATAAACATCCCTCTGGCCCAGGACAATGACCTTGTTGTAAAGGTGAGCATAATGAGTCATGCATCTCTGACACTGAATAGTATTAGGAGTACATCAAAGATGGCTGCGTGTCTCTTTCACTTTGAAAACTCGCTGATTCAGTGCCACAAGGCTGACATGAGAGATGAGGCTTTTATTGTGGTTTGTTCTGCTAAGACAACCGTCACGGACAAAGATGCAGTGCAGAGAGAGAGCTGAAGCAGAGCCACACATCATCAGATCAGTCCATATACTGCAGATGTTTATCTGTTTCAGGATATATGGGGTGTCACCTGAACAAGCCCTGGTTGTTAAAAGCTGATGTATGATTCTTCTATTCACTTCAAAAAATGTAATTTAAAAAATGCAGGGGATTGTGAATCTGCTACGTATTGTTGCTCATCTACATAGACTCAGGTGCATCTTTAAACAGGACATGCTATTAGAAGAATTTGAATGTTGTCTGTGGTTGACAAACTAAGATCTGTTTTTTTTTCTTCCATATTCATCAGATCATTGTTCACATAACTCCCTAGGGAAGAGTTTTACTAAAATGTATTTGAAATGCGGATAACATCTTCATAACAACATTTTAGCATCTCCGATACTGATCTTACCTCCAGAGCTGAGATTATTATCAGCCAGGAATATAAAACCCTAGAAATCAGAACGTTGTATTACCATGAACCTAAAACGAGTCCTCAAAAACACAGAAGTAATAAAAAAAAAACTCTTACAGAATTCTTCATCTGTATAGAGTTATTTATGATTCAAATTCAACAGGCTTTTATGTTTTTAAAGGTGCAGTATGTAAGGATATCGTGAGCATTTTACAGTAAGAAAATCTCAAAAGAGTTTAAGGTTTCAGTCCTTTAGAGAGGAAAGTTATACTGAAACAAACCGCCTGAACCTTTTCTATCCAAACGTAGAAAAAGGCACAAACAGCAGCTTGTTGCTGTTTCTTTACAGCATTAATGTTGAAGATGCAGTTTGTAAGAATTTTGTGAAATTTTTAAGGTGGGAAAATCCCAAAAGAGTGTTTCAGTCACTTTGGAAGGAAGTTTTTATTTTTATTTTTTTTTACAATTTTTTTAATTGATTTTCTTCATTTGGGTACCAACACATAAAATGAAAATGTCTCCACTCAAAACATAAAAAAAGACAAGAGACAATTATGTGGCATAAATATACAAATAAACACAAACATGAAAACATTGTGCCCAATACCAATTTTCATTTCCCTTCTGTTAGCAAACCCGAATTCATGGTATGTTTGAAGTAGAACAAAATTAAAGAAGGGAGTGAAATAAAGTGAAAAAAGAAAAGAAAAAAGACATACACCCCCTGCATACATGAACAGTATCAAATTACTTTGTTGTTTCACATTGTATTACCCGTTTCCAAAAAAGCAAAAAATTACGTCCAGATCTCATCAAATTTATCTAACATATTTTTTGTAAAATAGCTTATTCGTTCTAAAGCCACAAAGGATGTCATAGCTTCCAACCAGTCTGAGGTTGCACAAATGTTAGGTTTTTTCCAGCAAAGTGCAATACATCTTTTAACCTCCAATAGGCAAATATCCATAAGATGTGTTTTAGAATTAGAAAGGATAAAGTTGTTAGGATATATGTTTAAAACACACAACTTAGGGTCTACAGGTATTACTTCATTAATTATTTTACCAATAATTAAAAGAGTCTCCTTCCAAAAATGTACTATTGGTTGACATTCCCACACACAATGAAATAAGGATCCCCTTTGAGACTTACATTTAGTACATGTGTCAGGTACATCAGAGCTGAACTTATGTAACTTAGTTGGTGTGATATATTGTCTGGTCATCCATTTGTACTGAAGTAATTTGGAGTTTGTATTAACAGTCTGGGTCTTAATTAAAGAACAAGTCCACTCTTCCTCTGATATGGTTCCACCCATATCGGAGTTCCAGGCTCTGAAGATGCTCATTGATGAATCCTTAGAACTTTTAATTATCTCATTGAATATAATGGAAATCTGTCCCTTACCTCACTTATATTTAGCCACAATATATTCTAAAGTTGATGGTGCAGGTGGGGCAAGGTTACCATTTTGACTTGATTTAATGAAGTTTCCAACTTGAAGATATTTAAAAAGTGTTTTGGGGGGGATACTAAAGCTGGTCACCAGGTCTTGGAAAGTTCTCATATTCTTTCCTTTATGTAAGTCAGAGATTGTTGCTAGTCCTTTTAGAGACCAAGTTTTAAATCCTGGGTCGATTCTCCCTGGAGGAAATTCTTCATTGCCAAAAAGTGGCGTAAGAGTAAATAGCTGTCTAGTCCTATCAAGGCAGTTACCTACCTCATGCCATATTTTAATTGTATTTTTAAAAATGGGTTTTTGGTTACTTTCAACAATTTCTTCATATTTGATGAATATATATATATATATATATATATATATATATATATATATATATATATATATATATATATATATTGGTTTGGAGAAATTGCAATATTTTGAGCCTCAATATTGACCCAAGCTGGGGATTTATTGATTGATTGAAAGTAAAACATACCCATCCTAATTTGAGCTGCCCACAAGTACCATAATAAGTTTGGAACCTGCAATCCTCCTCTATCTTGTGGTAAATATGAAAGAAGGTTATACTGAAGCATATTTCATATCCAGCTGCTGCGGGGATTGTCAGTTTTCTCCTTTTAAAATAAAGGAAGGAGGGGCGTAATTACTGTTTACCATCAGTGAGCGTGGGGTTGTCAGGACTCCTGCGAGCTAATGCTGCAGTGCCGACAGCCAGCAAAAAGCTCCAGAGTTGTTTCAAGTGGCTGCAGTAACCAAATTTTACCACATGATGTCATTTTTACTTTATTTATACATAATGCACCTTTAAGTCAAATATGATTGTGTGAGCTACAAAAACATTTTCCAATGATTAGTTTGTTACTCTGGACAACGTCACATTGATTTACTTGGCTTTAGTTTTCTGTTGGCAGAAAAAAATATTCAGTTCTGATGTGTTCTTTATTTTCACTCATGTTTTTGACTTTTCTCAGTTTGAAAGCACAAAAATGTTCCAAGCTTTTAAAATATGGTGCGATTGTGTTAATACAGGCTAGTATACAAAACCAGTCCCCAGATCTACCATCCATAGGGTCAATATGGTCTTTGTCCACAATGTTGAAGGTGTGAAGTGCTGTGAAACCATCTGGGTATTAAGTTTATTTATCTGTGACAAATACTACCACTTTTACCACCTTTCAAAGCACTGATCTCTAAGATGTAATAGCACAGCAGAGAATTGACTCTTCTTAACTCATTCACTGCCAGCCGTTTCTTGATCACTAACGGCATTCGCTGCCAGCGTTTCTCACCATTTTTACTGTTTTTTTAAGAGTCACAGAACGTTGTACGCTAGCATGATGTTGATGCCAAAACAACCAAAACAAAGAGGAGACTCACCTCTTACATCAGGAAGAAGCCGCGTGTTTCGAGCGTTATCCGTTCTTTCATAATCCGTTGTCGAATTGTGATCGGCAGACGCTTTTCCGGTTCGCGCCTCACTTTTTTTTACAGGAACGGCCCAAAACGATCTCCAAACACATGGATGTGTTGCTTCCTGATCATGTGATCTGTGACGTATGCGGATGAAGATCGGCGTCAGGGCTGACATGTTTGTTCTCTAAGCGCAGGGGCTCGTTCCGATGCTCAAACAGTAAAAAAAATGCAAATTACGACTTTAGTCGTCATTGGCAGTGAACGGTTGGATCTAAAATGACGACTTTAGTCGTCAATGGCAGTGAATGAGTTAATTGTGAAGTGCATTTGTGTTGCTGTTTGTGTTTCCCTTTATGAAGGTGTGAACATGCCTCACTGCACTGATCCACATTAAAAACTACTCAGCTTCTCTTTGAATTGTCTGTTTTAATTGTTTTCATGAACATTGATGCACAGATACAATTTTCAATCTCAAATCAGTCTTGGCGTGGTTTCAGGCTAGTATGCACCAGATTTATCTGTTGCCAAGTTTTCGTTTCCCAGATACAATACTGAGTTAATGTTTCATTTGTTTGCAGGTAATTCCACAAGCCAGTGTGGGTGAAGTTCATCATGCCATACGCACCACTTTCCAAAGGGTGAACGACTTCTTCATCCCTTCAACGAACCTTATTATAACTCATGTGAGGTAAAGAAGTGACCTCTGACCTTAAAATCAACTGCAACTTCTTTTATCACTCTAATTCAAACTTCTTGGGGGTACAGGTTTGCATTTGTCTTCCTAAAAAATGAACCTGCAGTTCACAAGATCGATCTGGAGACTTTCCACCGTGTCAAGACCATCAGCCTGAAGAACTACAGCTGCATACCAGCCAGCATGGCCTACACACATCTGAGTGGCTTCTACTTTGTCCAGTGCCAGCACAAGAGCCTTCTGCATGCTCCAGCCCAGATCCTCATCGACAGCGTGACAGATGCCGTGATCGGCCTCAACCTGAATGTCACAGGGCAGGCGTACGTGTCACCAGACGGTCGCTACGTTGTGACACCTGACCCAGAGGGCTCAAAAATGATAGTACAGACAGTGTCCTTCCAGGGTGAGCTGAGTCTCAATCGGGTAATCGACGAGCCTATAAGTGTGTCTGATCTGGTTTTCCAGCCGTCCTTCACAGAGTCCAACCAACACGTGGTTGTGGCCACCTCGGGGTCAGGTACAGACTTGCTGTTTGCCGATCTGTCATCAGGTCATGTCGAGGTTCTACGAAGCCTAAAAGAGCCCCTGCCCCCCCGGGCCTGGCCATGGGGAGGACCAAACAGAGTGGTGGTCTCCAGCGGATTGTTCGGACAGTACTTGATAACACCATCAGTCGAGTCCCTCTTCGTCTTGAACGGCAAACACAGAACATCACACTGTGAGGTGTCAGACATAAAGAGAGCAAACACAGTTGTCTGGGTCGGTGAGGTATGAGTAAATAAAAAATAAACTGGAAAAATAAAGAGACTTAGAATTAGTGAAAGATACAAACAAGAAAAGGAAGAAGAGAGATCAGGCCAAATTACCTATTACTAAGATTTATGTGGACCCAGCCCTGGGACTGAACGAGAAGGAAACATGCCTGAGTTTGTTGTGACAAAAGTACACCTAAAAATAGTCAATGAGAAATACGTTAAGAAAATCTGTTGTGATTTTCCTATTGGGAGAAAGTGTCAATGCCGTTCAGTGCAACAGTGATCTACGTGCACTTAACTATACAGAATTGTACAATATTGCACTTCCTTCCATGTTATCACAGCAAATAGGTACCTGAAGAGGTGTAACTAAACTATGAACTATGCACAATGCTCACTTTTTTTAGAGTAAAAAGCTTTCCAGTTTTGTTTTTTCTCAACAGATGTCTGTCGTTTTCACCAGTGCTGCATATAATCACCACAAACTGTCTGTCTTGTCTGCCTTTAGTGTGTAGTGTTCTGATACCTTTTAAATGCTAACAGCAGCATCTGTTAATTCGCCTTCGTCATGGTGTTGTGCTGTACTCTCTCGCTCTCTGAAAGCTTTCATTCTCATGTTGGCAGAGGTTGGCTTTATGCACTTGTGTAATTCCCTCTATTTACTTTGTGTATCCAAAGAGCCCAATCGGTCCATTAGTCATCAACAGTGGATGTTTCAGTTGCAGAGGAAGCAAAACATTGCATCCTCTGGTCTTTCGCAATTGTATAATCTCTCCTCCTGCACCACAGTTTTGTGCTGTGAAGCCTAAAAATGCCACTTAGCAGTTTCCCTCGGGGTAATGACTTCGGATTGCGCCGCCCCATATGCTGAGATCAAACTAAAGCAGCATCAGTTACGCTATCTGATGGGCTGTGAGCATTTGTGCATCAACATCAAACTCCGTATTGGTGACTAACATTTCTGAGATCGACAGATTTTTTTGTCATCAACCCAAACTATGATGGTTTTAACATCAAAGATACATTCAGCAATAAATGTCAGTCAACTTAAATACAAAGCAAATGTGTGGGTCGATCAAATTTTGTATGCTCAAAAAACCTCAAGGCAGTAACTAAACACCAGCAACTCTTCATCTAGTAGAATAGCACATTTTGAACTGCATCATCCTTGATGTAATAGTGTTTTTCCACTTGCACTAATCCTCACAACGATGAGCCATTAGCAGTGAAACAGCACAGCAGCTTTTCTGCAGTTGTAATAATCACTGGAACAATAATGTCTCTAAGCATTTTTGCCTCCTGGCCTACTCGTCAATAACTAAATCTGGTCATAAAAAAATACATTGATCGGTTGACATTTTAAAATTTACTTTCGTTTATAAACATTTTAATATTTTTTCTATAAAAATATCTAAGCAACGCATTTGCAGTGGTCTCTAGAATAAATGAATGTCTTGTGAGTCAACCTCTGTGGGAATAAAGCTCTGGCGCTCCTGTTATACAGACATCTCACCTCTGATTGGCTGAGAGCAACCCAACTCCAACACACACTCAATTTGCTTTGCAACATTGATGTTTTATGTCCACAAATAGCACAAGCCTGCAGGAAATAGGGGTAGAATACTTTTTTCACGTGAACTTGGACTTCAAATAGTGATGCATTCAACCAATCCAATGTAGAACCATATATCTTTCAGTCATCAGAAGTCCTAACTCTAACCTAGAACCCTTATTTATTGCATTATAATTAGACTTTGTCCTTTCTAAGGGAAGTGGTACCAAATATAGTTTCAACTTGTTCATTAACAGATTTACATTCTGATTAATTTAGATTACCTGCTAATTGGTTTTCATCTTCACACATTTCTAAGACGATTTTATCTCAGAGGAAGAAAATGAAAACGGAACACATCAGACCACAAATACTCACAGCCTTTGAGATTTAGCCATTGCTGCCTTTTATTTCTTTCTGGAGGGTGAAAATGTTTAAATCATATAAACTCCATGAAGATGTCAAAGCTTTAGCATGTTTAGTTCAGAGTATACTCTATATGCTAATACGTGTTTCCTGTCCCAAAAAGAATACTGAATTGAATATTATAAATTAGCTCCTAATACATAGGTGTGTCTGTAGCTTCATAATGGGATGCGGTGAGTAGGGTAGACACTGATCTAGTTAAGGAGTGAAGCGGTTCATGATTAAGACAACATGAAAAACAGTGATTGAAGAATTGTCTGAAAGTATTGACACAAAATCGCATTGTTTCTTAGACCACTGTTGCACTGAGAGAAATATGTATCAGAATACATCCAAGTTATTTTTTATGAAAATGTGTTGAAATTTGTTTTTTTTTTAAAGCTCTCTGCTTCTTGAAGTCACTATCCAATCCAAAGTTGCTCCCTTTTGGGCAGTGCTGACATGCATGTAATAAAATTGATTTTCAGCATATTACCACTGACCTTGCAGTGACCACACGGTCACCAACAGTTGCTTGTGAAAGAATCACTTTCCTGCCCTTCTATTGTCACATCTGTCAATTCAACAGCAAGACACCGCTATTGAGCCAAGGAGAGCAAAGAAACTACACTAATGTTTGCTGAGGAGTCTGGCTAAGCTCCTGTTGTTTGTTTGGGCCACATGACTCTTTCTGTACCTCTTTTACCCGGAAGTAAGGAGCTGCAGAGCTGTACCAATTGATGTGATAGACCTTGGTAGAAACCACTGTTGTAGATAACATTGTTCATGTTTAGAACACGTTCAGACATGACATAAAACTGACTGTACAGTTTTTGTTATGCATTTTGTGTGTTATTGTTTATGAGGGAATTGTTTTGTAAGAAAAAAATGGAATAAATATATTGTTAAAATCATGGTCCTAGACTCAAGAATTTTTCATTGAAACGACAGCTGTGAAAAGCATTTTTTACATCCACTGATTTTATAGTTGTCCTAAAAGAACGATGGAAACCAAATTCATGGCTTTATAGCCTAGAGTGTTTTGTAATGATTAATCCATTAAACCACAAGGTGAGGAGGTAATCTTTCCAGGACTGCATAATTAGAGCTTTGGTCCATCAAATGATGTCATCAAGGAAAAGATTTAGATTTTTGAGCGTAAAAACACCAAGAAAGCATGCATTCATCACTTGAAAACTAAGTAGCTAACAAAGAATAATAAGTTCCTGTTTGCAGCATTGCATCCAACCCCTTGTTTTCCCACTCCTTTCTTGCCACCATCTTTGATGAGGTGCCTTCCACCTCTAAGAGGATAATGAAATCTTTTGTCTTCCTGGGATCAACACAATCCAACAATCTATGACCATTACCAGCAACAAGCTCATACCAAGGGGCAACATCAATACACTTTTCATCAGTGTCAGAGTGACAGACAAGTGTGAATGAGAACAAAAGGCTTCCTGTAGCCAAACATCAAAGAGGAAAGTGAATTTGATTACACAGACAATAACTATCCTGTTCGCCGTGCCTCAATTCCCTGTAACCTCAGAAATGAGAAAAGGCGTCATCCGTTATCTGACAGAGGCCACAACTTGATCAAAGCTCATGGCATCATGTCCATATCTGCAATTACTGTGGCAAATTAGGCCAATCAGGAGGCTTTTGCTAATGAAAGAATATTTCCGCTGACAACGATACTCAAAAACACTTACTAAACAAGAGACTGATGCAGTGCTTACTCAAGTAGAGATTAAGTTGGCAATTGTTTTAAATTCAAACTCCAAATGTCCAAATGTGACTGATTTTGGACAAGGTTGTGGCTAACTCACAGCTGCTCTTGATGAACGTAACATCTATGATGGTTTCCAGTCAGGTTTTCGCAGAGCTCATTCCAATGAAACAGCTCTTCTTCAGCTTAATTTATACTTCTCTGTCTGCGTTGGGACGGACGCAAGCAACGCCATTATCCGTCTTTGCGAGCCTGCTGAAGCGCCCTCGCAAGGACAGACAGAGTCGAGCTCTCTTTTTTAAACATCCATCCATCAAGACGGAGAACGCAAGCTTGTGATATGGTCTCTCCTTCTTTTACTTTATTTATTGACAGAACATGATTAGAAAACTGTTCAATAGCCTGCTAAATATCATGCTATCATCTAAATACAATCATAATTAAACTATGATCAGTAAAATTGTATGTATTTCATTAACATGTTCAATAGTAAGTTATTGGAAATGCTAATTACATTTAATATCTACTGCTAAAAATGTAATGATGACATGTCTATTATGTACGACTTAGCAATAATCCAGTTTAAATTATGTTCAACGATAAGACACGTTTGTGAATTACATGCTACAGCAGCTTGCCATATTCCTGCTGTGGTGTTGCGCAGAGCAGACTCGAAGCAGCAATCTGAATGCAGCGGTTCTGCTCCATGGTGCTGCAACAGCTAAGAATAAACAGGATGATGGGGACTTTTCTTCTGCTTGCAGAGTTTAGATGTTCTTAGTTTCACAACCATCGTGTTTTTTTGGAACCCAACTTGATCGTGAGCCTGCTACCAGCTAGCATTAGCTAATCTGCCCGTAGTTGCACTTTTGATCCCAGACTTTTGACCATTTCTGCCCTTGTGTCTTTGCTGGTTTCTGTTTTCCTCTACAGAAACTAGATTAGCACATTGTGCGCCAGTCTTCCTTACACAATAACAAACAACTTACCTTTGCTCAATAAAGTTCTGGGGAAATAAGTAACTAGTAAAAAGATGCCGTACGAGTGCTAAATTTATAAATTGTTTATCGCATACTGAGTTTTATTCATCGCACATGCAACATATATGACTCTCGTTCTGATCTGCCTTGGTCTGCTATGCTGCTGCATACAGATGAGCTGTGCACATTGACTGATAAATAAATGTTGCACAACATGAAAAAAGTGCACAACACAACAAATCGATTTGTTGCAGCCCTACTTCCTTCCAACAGGATTGAGACATTAGACTATTTTGTGATTATTTCACTGTAGAATTCTTGGACAAATATTATGTGGCCAAATCATTTAATGCAAGTGTGGAGTGCACACTTCACTGAGCAAACCTCAAGTGAAAAAGTAGAATCGGTGTGTAAGTGGAGATGACATGGAGAACGTGAAACATGAGCCAAGTCAGTGACAGTGGAGGAGCTGAAAAGATGGATGCATTTACACCTCTTCAACATCTGGCTGAAACGCTAGCGCAACACCTCCCTTGGTGATTTGAGATGAGTCACACCAAGTGAGCAGATTTGAACCTGTCTGAATGCTTCCTGAGTGCATTTACAGGTAATCATTCATGAGGATAATTACAAAAGTGGGTGATATCACAGACACAGACGTGTCAAACACTTTAAAGGAAAGCAGAAAAAAAGCTGTCAAAAGTAGGCACATTGTTTCTACTCATAGAAACACCGTCATATAAAGCAAATATCAAGGTTTGCCTTCTGTTTATGCAATTATTTCCAGAGTTGGTTTTGAATCAGATGTAAACGTTCCAACTCCGGATGAATGGCTGAAAATGGATGGATGGAAGTAAGCGTTGCTATGGTTTCATAAAGAACATTTCTGCAAATGAAGAATACAGAAAGGTAATTAACAGACATGAACACTGCTCATATTGAGCTTGGTTAAAGCCAATTGAACTTAATTTAGCATGTAAGGAAAAGTTGACATGGCGGTCATTAAACATTTTTTTCATTATTCTACATCGTAGATGAAACACAAAAAATAAACAAAGCTCTGCCTCGATTGACTCTCCTCAGAATAAACCAAGGATAATTTGCCCTCAGGTTTACTATACGTGCCATGTTTAGAGACATTGGGAATGTTGCCTGCAGAGAAAAGGAAATAATCGAGGGGAACAATCTGGGAAGCATTCCGTGTTGGGATAAGCCTAAGCTCAGTAAAGAGACGATATCTGTCCCAGCCAGGTTTCACTGTTAAACATAAGCTTCAGGAAAATATCATGAACACCAGAAATACAAAAGACATTTGTAAGACACAATTTTCAAAGTTTTCCCATTTGGACCGCTTTTTCACATTGATGAGGTCGACAACACCAGCTAGTAAAGACACAGAATATCCTGAAAACCATCCTGCAGGTGTGGTAAGACATTGAACACATCACAAAATAAAGACCGTTTATGTGTCTCATCTTCTCCAGCTATTTGTGAATGTGCGCAGTGAGATAACTGTCTCTAGCACACACTTGCAGACAGCTGATACGTGAAAGTGATCTAAATTGGTATAGGGATTTATGTGAAGAATCACATGGCAGGCTAACCTTTAATCTACTCCAATCATTGAGTTCTTATTCCTACAATCACCTCACTGTCACCCATCTACCTTAGAAACAGTGGTAAATGCAGTTATTGCATCTGAAGTTTATTGATATTTAATCAAACTTGAAATTTGTGACTACACTATAAAAAGCAACCTGTAGAAACAACCCAATAAAATTTAAGTAACAATTTGCACATAATTTGCTTAATTTATATCCCATATATGTTTGTAAATATTATCTTATATTCAAAGTTAAGAAATGCTTAGGATTTAAGTATGTACTGGCCCTTATCACCAGGGAAAATAAACATTGTAACTTCAGCAACGTTCTAACATAGTATAGCTATTGGGGTTGCACGTAGTTAACCGGTTAACCAGTTAATTGCCGTTAATGTTTGTAGCGGAAATCCACATTATTCCCAGATTAACTTGTGTTGGGTTCACACAAAGTTCCTTTCTCTCACACTCAGCAACAGGGGGAGGTTGGAGCTGGCTATCTCCTACCTTCTCCCACGGACATAAATTTTATCAAGTGACGTGTTTTTTTCTTCTGCGCTAATCAGGAGGCACAGGACTAATATCAGAAACTGGTCTGGTTTACATCAACCTCAGACTGACCCTTTTCTCAAGATGGGGGAAGCCGTAAAACTTCTCCAAGGTCCTCCTGGGAAGTTCAAGAACTGAGTCTTTATAAACCTTGCATTCCTGTTTATTTACAATCAAAGAAGATGTTTAGTTTGCTTCACCATTAGAAGTCAAGGTGCTCTAATGCCCTAAGTAAATGCTACAATTTTATAAGTTACAAACTTAACTGCTTGTTTTGTGTTTTCCTTTTTATATTTGCCAATTTGTGTTTCTCCAGTTAAAATTCATGCTAATGGTAAAACTGCCCAGTTTAAGACTAGCTTATACAACATAATTATGAACCTCACTCACATCTGCACTGTTTATAAACTGACCCCACAATTATCGACTTCCGTACTATTGAGGTTCTTTGTAAAATGTTTTTTCCTATTTTTACTTCACCCTGTGTCTTAATGATTTTAGCTGTTATTTTTGGGAATTTTGTTGTATTTCCTTTTTATCTTTTATCTGTGTTCGACATGTTTATATAACGCCTGTTTAATTAACCAACATTTTTAGTGTACAGCGCCTTGTTTGGTTGTAATGCCTTGTGAATGCGCTTTATAAATAAAATTGGATTGGATTGGATTGGAAGACATCAATTTAGTTCTTCTCTGTTTAAAGTAATACTTTGATCCCCATCTGGAACAACTTTGGTAAAATTGCAATCATGGATCTTTCATTGTTGGAAAGACAGGGGTTATTTGAAAGAACTACAGTGCCATCAAGTGGTTAATGAGTGAAATACATGTGGGTGTGACAAAAAGACAGTTTATAAAACCAGAAGTTCAGACCTCGTGTGGCAGAACAAAGAAGAAAGATGCCTTAAGCGAACCTCTGCTGGGCTTTTCCACCTGGGCCCAGCAACAGATAACCCGACGCTCATAAAGTTGTTAAGCCAAAAATCTCAAAAGTTACGATAAAACTCATAAGTAACCCATTTGTTTTGTTTTGACTTTCTACGTGAAACCGGAAGTC